TATATATAATAAGAACTGTACTTTTAAGGCGAGTCTATCCAGTTCTGGAGAACACTACCTATTTTTGTCAACCTTAGGAAATTATTCTTATTGTTCATTATAGAGACCAATCAGTTAGCAGTACAACTAGAAATAATTAGTGTACCAGTCTCATCTGCATCACTGAATGAATCATTCTATTTGAATAAAACCTAGTTATTTTATTTTTTGGGCCATATTTTGCTTGCCACTTGGGTTTGTCGCTGTGCCATGGGTTTACGGCTGGTGTGTTCCCTTTATTACCGGGTGAACTAGGTGAAATTATAAATAAATATTCTTGATATCTTCAATTCATCTGGTCAACGGCGGACTTTCCTGCTTGGTGTCTCTTAATACAGAAGTGGTGTAGATATAGTCATAAAAACATAATAATAAATTGATACGTTATAAATTAATGAAGTAAAGAATTTTTTACGTAGCGCTATAAATTATAATAGTTTGTGCTGAGCTGTATGCAACAATATATATATAATGCTTTCATTCACCTTCATCTTGTATAGCTGTGCGACCCTACAGACTGTGTGAGATCGAACCATACCCTCTTACTGACTCGTGGGCCAATAATAGCTGCGCAGGAAAAGAAAAAAAAGGCATTCGAGTAAGAGCTTTTGAATTCTAACCCCCAATGTTCCGAATTATCTGACGAGGCTAAGCGTGTTCGCTAAATTGGAGAAGGTCCGCCGCACTACGAGTCAACACCGTTAAGGTGGAAGCCATAGAAGGGGATGGCTGGCCAGCAGGAACGCATATGAAGAAGGTCTGCTCGTGTTTTTCTTTCGTGGTAACGAACAATATCATATACGCGCAAGAACGCTTCACATAAGACTTTTTGACTCACGTTAAAGAGACGCTTAGAGTGTTTCCTCGTACAGTGTCGACATTACATTTCGACTTACCTCTCTCTGGGTTCATTCTACATGGAAGAACAAGACAATACATTTAAACGTAATGCAAACCAGGAACTTGTCAACCGCCTCGGACTTAAGAGTAAAAATGAAATTCAAGAGCGTTTCAGTGGACCTTTATCACATATTCTAGTAACGCTAAATAAGTGAAAAAAAAAAAGCGCTAAAAAATGCTAATTTCGATCCTAACTAAAGTTTAAACTTAAAAAAAAAAATCAAAATCGCTATTTAGATATGGGGTATTTCGTTAAAACGTACGCTGCAAGTATTTTTCTCATGTACCTTTTAAAGTCGCGCTTAGTTTTTTTTGCGATAAATTTATTTGTCACTACTATTGAAGTGAGCATAAAAACGCAACATTTGTAAGCTACTTAGGTGAGGTTAAGGGTTCAGTCCGGTTCACCTAACTGGGCAGCTGGGTTGATTTATACCATATGATTTGTGAAATGCCAGCACAAAAATACGATTTTTGTTGAGTCTTGGACGCTGGTAAGTGCCATTTTCACTATGATTTCACTACATTTTATTTTTAATGATTACTATGTTAAGAGGGTAACTCTCGGTTGAATATCATCGTGGCAAGCCAAGCTTCTATCATGCAGCCCCAGGAGTGAGTGACGTGTTCGCAATATATCTTTAGGTTATTTTTACCCATAAGTGTTAACTGTTAGCACACAGCAGAGCACTTTGTGCCTGACTTGTCCGATTAGAATGCGAGGTATTAATAGCTCGAGATATGGCTCATCATTGAGATTAAAAACTTGTTTTTAGTATCCATTACAAGTTTTGCAGTTAATACTACTTCTCCATGAATTGATACATTGAATGGAATTAAAAGTCTACTGAAGTCTATGTTTGCTCTCAGAGGCAACTATTTTAAAAAAGAGACGCACGTGTAAAAGTGGCGTGTATACCAGCATTGCGATTTGTACAGTTTCTCTG